TCCGATCTCCCCAAAACCCCAAAACCCCAAAACCCCACTTGACTTAAATCAGAAAAAATTATTGATTTTTAAGTTTTATTTAAATAAATTGAAATGAAATAACTTGAACTCTAACTCATTGCATAGTTTAAATAATGATTGATAGTTAATTTTCTCAGAATATTGAGCAATTATTACAACCGTAACCACGATCCTTTTCAGGTTTGTAATGATAATGCTGCTCAACTGGAACAAAGTCTCTTGAAATGTACACTTTTTCATGATTGTTCTTGTGGACATAGTTATTACTGCCATTGTATCTCAGATAGGATTGATCAGTCTAGTACTTTTAGAGATTAGGAACACTTTATGAGCTCGTATTATGAGTTTGTCCTCCTTTGTTCTAATAATTTTACTACAATTTCTTAAAGTAACTCATTTTCTATTCCTCAGTCATGTTCACTCCAGTCATTGCCTAAATTTTGCCTTTGTTATTCAGGTTAGATATATTCAGTGTTGCTTCCATTTAAGATTTGTTAAACTTACTTGGTGCAACATAAAAATTATCTTGTTATTTTAATTCCTGCTAAATTCTTTAGTCTCTCTCCATTAGCTTTGTTTTGAATTAATCATAATCCTTGGAGTATAGTTGGAGTAAATCAATGTCAACATTACGAGCACCATAGCTTATTTTAGGTTTTGAATCTTTTACAGGTTTTAGAGATTTCCTAGTCTTATTCTTACTCATGTAACTGTTCAACTCTGGGTATGGCTTAACCTTTTCTTCAGTTGAACGAGGTGATCTTGACCTGCTGTGTCTTGCATGATATGGGCAAATTTAAGCATGAGATTTTTTCACTTAATTTTTAAGCTTTTCCACTACTTTCGTGCTCTCTCGATTTGGGGAATATTTCATATCAGCGCTACAAGTTAAAAGTAAGTTGGGATTAGAGCGATGTTGGAATTATTTGTTTAGTCTGGTGCTAAATGATCTGTCTCTCTGAATCTTACTCTAATTATTAGGAGAAGGAGGTGCCAGTGAAGTTTACATAGTCTACAGATATTTTTTGTCTATGACATTTCTGAGGGGCTGATTCCAAAATTCTTTAGACAACCTATCAATTTCTATATTTGATCCATTTGAATTTTTATGGTTGTGATTGTTATTATTCTGATCACTTTCATATCCTGGATCTTATGTCATTAAATCCTAAGTCTTAGGTTTATCAATAGCTTCCTTTGTGACTTTATTGATTTAAAGGTCAATAACCGAATGTCTAGGAACATGGCTTGGCCTTTACCTTTAGGTCTCTGCATGCTCCTTCTAAGGAGGTGTAATCCTTTCATTAGTAATGCTTATGTTAAAAGGAGGTGAAGATTCTAAAGGTGTTTATTAATAGATTCTACTTGACTTATACTGAGAGGAGTTGGCATTAAACGTGGTTTCAAGCACTTTTTGCCTTTATTTATACAAACGTGCGTAATCTGGTTTTAGATAATACAATCTATCAACCCAATCTACTTACTCCTTTGGATTTTTTTTCTTTTTATTGTTTTGAAGTGTTTAGAACAGAGGTCGATATAAAAATGCAGTCTCCTTTTTAGTTCTGTATTCATTGTAAGCGGGATTCATAATAAATCTTAGATGGTAATCAAGGAGGTCGACATTTTTCTTATTATCTAATCTGCATTCAATAAAACTTGGAATACCTCTTTGCTCTAGAAAATCCTGAATTTAATCATTTTTCATGATTCTCCTTGTAGATTTATTTGCTATGTCTTTATTTACAATAGCAACAAGTACTTAATAAGCACCCACTTGGTTTTACTCATTAAAATCATTATGGATAGAGACGAGCTTTTCGAACGAATCTTTATCATCGGCATTATACAGCATGATAAAGATATTTGCTTATTCGTAAAGCTAGAGAGCCTTTAGTCTTGACCAGAGATGTTCCTTAGGGTTCATATCCCAGAAACATATATCCAACTCAAAATTCTCCAAGGTTTGCTAATTTTTTAATCCATTATTTGCGCTTGAGTATTATTCATGGTCTGAAATTAAATCTCCTAGCATTGCTGTTTATTGTGAAGTGACCAATGTTCTTGTAAGAGTACAACCATTTTGCTGTTAAACTTAGACATTGGGTCTGTAAGATTCTGTAATCAACTCGGTGAAATATGTTAAGTCTACTTTGGTAGAACCGCAAACAATGACGACGTTAAGATTAATCTTTGGCATTATTCAAAATATATTTATAAAATTGCTTGCCTTTTAAATTATGATAATTTTCACCTCTATAATTTATTCATCTTCTTGGGGTTTTGGGGTTTTGGGGTTTTGGGGTTTTGGGG